GGAGCCAAAGGAGGAGCTTATGGGTAGATTATTTCAGCTAAATAATCAGCAGACTGAACTAAGTGGCTAGACCACAGGTATTTGGAGACAGTAACTGTAAACTTGGTGTACGCACTTACTAAAATAGCTTTTCAACAGCTGCAAGTTATTATGTAAACACTGTGCTCTCACATCCTTTTATTAACAGTCACTGAGGAAACTGCTCACATTTAGTTTTGTTTTATGCACGGCGCTATGAAAAAATATTGGAAAATATTCTTCTACAGATTGTTACAGAATTCCTAAAGGCACATCAGGTTATAAAAATACAAGCTAATTAGATGGGGTTAGATCTTATTAGAAGTCTATTGGTTTTTCTAAATCTATAAGCTGTATTAGGGACATCCAAAAGGAGGATCTACCTACATAGGTGTAGCTTTTACTTACAATCAAAGTATAAGATTTGAATTAAAATTACTATGCTTATTGCTAATTAATGTGACTATTTCTCAAGTGTGTGTGCAGGGAAGATATTCTTGTTAGGGACCAAAGGTCACTCATGCCAAGGTCAGCAAACACCTTGGTCTGATTCAAAGATGGGGAGAGACACACTCCTGAGCATCACATCCAACTGTGTTCATTGTGTGTGCAAATGATAGCAGCTGGACATTGTTTAACACGCATCCTTACGGGCGCGGGATACCTCTTACCAGCTAAGCTGCTTTTTGGTCCTCCAGTGTGAATACGTCTACATTTATAGAAGCAGATAACTACGTAAAGCAGGTGACAGTCTATTGCCGTGCAATTTAACCAGGCAGGTACACACTCCCACTTGGCAACATAACATGTTTCAAAAAAAAAAGAAGGAAGGAAAATTCTGCTAAAGGCATGAAAGTTACGCAGTGCCTGTCCTGCATAATGAGTGCAAGAATCCCTTCTGCTCAAGATTATAACAAATAAAATGCAAAACAGACTCATAGGCTATGGAGCATATTTTCACACTTATGAGCAGAGATGAGCTGAACTCCCTATTGTCCAGGAGATAGAAAGATCCTCATCAGCTGTAATAGGGAGCCTGACAGCTATTTGAATGGGACTGTGTGGTAGGCTAAGGAGGAGATCCTGGTATTGGAAGTTCAAACTAGTGATGAATCGTTCTGTCCTTTGTCTCAAAAAGAATGAGGCATTTCTTTATTGTGTTCATTTGCACCACAGCTATATAATATCATGCCTCAGATTTTTCTTGGCCTTTTTAGGGACCTTTTATTTCTTTTCTTCCTGCAAATTTGACTTTTGAGATTTTTTTGACTCCCATCTGAAGCATCAGAGATAGGTCCCAACTAGAGATAGGACAGGTTACACTGGTGCTTCTTTTGAAATATAAAACTCTCAAGTGTCTTTGAGAGAGGTATACCCAAGGTCACATCTACCACCTGCCAGATCTGGGGTTGCAAAGGAATTTTCCTCAAAACCAGACCAGTGGGGAAGATGGAGTATTACCTGCCTTTCTCTGTAGGACAGTGTGTTATAATTGCTATGATCATCTGATAATTAACTAATGGCATGACCACTAATGAGAATTGAAATAAGCAGTGAACTCTTGACACCCCCCCCCCCCCCCCCCCCCCCCCCCCCCAGCTGTCTCTGTGATGTATACCAGTGTGTTTGGGCCTTTTGCAATAGACCTGCAAGCTGTCATAGGGAGCTGGCAAACTTTTTGTGGCTGAACTTCTATTGAATAGTCAAATGAGCAACAGAGGGCTGGGCTCAGTGGTCTAAACCACAGAAACATCATAGAATCATAGAACTGTTTGGGTTGGAAGGGACATTAAAGATCACTTAGTTCCAATCTCCTGCCACAGACAGGGACACCTTCCACTAGACCAGGTTGCTCAATGCCCCATCCAAACTGGCCTTGAGCACTTCCAGGCATGGGGAAGCCACAGCTTCCTTTGGCAACCCATTCCAGGTCCTTTTCAGTCCATGTTCATAAAATAATGTTACTTTTTGTGTACTCTGGGCAGCTATGCAAAAGGAAGAAAGGTAAGTGATGCTTCACAGTAAGGGCACCCTGAAGTGGCAGGTTTTCAGCACATTCAGTTTCCAGATGAATGGTCTGGTGGTCTGTCACTAGGAAATGAAGTCCTGAGTATGTGTGTAACACTACCAGGACAGATCTGCTGAATTACCAATAACAATCTTTTCTACAAAAAAACAGCTGTAAAATTCAGTGTCTGTTTTTGCTCCAAAAAAGCTGTAAAGTACCTATGCATCTGGTTCACAAAAGCTTCTAGTTCTATATGTCTTACATATCTCATTAAAAGAATTATTCTGCTATTATCATTTAATCCAGTGTGGTATGAACATGACATTTGACAGCCTATGGCTGAAAATTCCAGCTGCCTTTCTGGATTATAAGCATAAAGTTTTACAGCTATATGTGGCAAGCCAGTAGGGTCAGCAAAAAAGGAGCCTGAATTTTCTATGCAGATCAGTAAAGCTGCTGCTGAATTGTTATTCTTCCCCTTAGTGTGAGTCCCAAGAGACCAAATGAGCTGAATTATCTTCTTCTCACTAGTGGACCTATCTCTCAGGGGAAAGGTCAAAAATAAGACATGGCAGGGAGCGAAGGAAAAGGGTTGAGCATGCTTTGAAGTCCTCAGCCCAATGTGGCAGCCTGAAATACAGGAGTGAGAGTTTGATTGAAGGGACACTCTGATTCCCACTCCAGATAAATCCTCATGTGAATCTTCTTCCCATCGAAATACTTTTTTTCAGGAGGTCAGGCCGAAACAGGGTGAGGGATGTGCTCAGGTGGTGGCTTCTTTGGAAATCAGTGATGAGAAGGAAGGCAGACAAGAGTCAAAGAAACCATTAGCCACTGCCCAGGCCTTGCTGCCCTGCATACAAACAAGGATGTTCAGTGGTATGTCTTCTACTGTTGAGGTCATGACACAGCAGGGTGCTCACAGCTTATCTGTGATAAGTCAGGAAAAAAAAGCCTTAAACAAACAAGAAAGCCAGAGAAGTAGCTTACCCAGGGGGTAAAGAAGCAGATTCACAATGCTAACATTTGCTAGCGATAGCACTGGGTTTCAAAGTCCCCAGGATATGGTGCAGGACTTCATGCTGTGCCAACTCCAAAGAAACTGTCACTATCCCAAAGTTTTACTGCGTAGTAATTTAATCTAGTAATCTGAGTAATTTCATCCAAGCAATTTAAACTTTAAACTCAATAACCAAACTCGTAATATGTGAATTATATAGAAGGTACAGACCCCATTTCATGTATTATTCTGAAAAGGTGGAAAAGCATCCATTTAGGAAGGAGACTTTGGACATCTGACAATTAGGTGTGGCTGAAAACTTTTTTCTGAAAAATGGCCAGCAAAGTCACCCTAAATGGCCTTAAAATTATATTGAAAAGAAAATTGCAGTGTATTAGAAAGGCTGTCACACATGAAAAATCATTCTTCTCCCAAAAGGCCAACTTTTGTTTAGCCATGATGAATATTTTGACTGAAACACGCTAGAAGGCACAAAAGTCCTTCTCTTTTTCCTTGGGTTGTTTCCTGGGTAAGACCAGATGAAACTTGAAAGCTAGGCAAGAAGTAAATGGAGACAGTAAAGAAGCATCAGAAAATGTAAGAAAGAGTGGATTTCAGCCATGAAGGATACACTGTTAATAAGCTGGCTTCCCAGAAATGGGGACGATGCAGTCCTTCCAACACCACCCCATGGCATGGAGCTCAGGCTGGAGCTCAGGCTTTAGGGAGACATGAGTTCACCATTTCAAACAAAATAAATAATCCAAGTTTGCTGTTTTCCTTCTCTTTCAACTTGTACTCTACCTTTGTAAACATTTCTGTGTGGGTAAATTACTCTTCCTTTCTGAGCAAGTCTATGAAGCCGCTTTATTTCCAGCAGAATGGTCCTTGTGTCACTATCATCCTCCCTGTGAACAAATTGGGAGAGATAGAGGGGAGGAAAAAAAAGGTTTGCACTAAGGTAGCTCCTTGAGGCCTCCATGAGGCAGGCATCCCACTGTGCTCTGCTCAGGGCAGGGGACTGGGCTTGCGCAGGGGCTCTCCTGCTGCCTGGGGCACACATAAGATGCCAGAAGAAAATGGCAGAGATGGGAAATGCTGGTAATAAGAAAGGGAACGGGGGGGGTGAATAGACTTGTCTGATAACTGGAGATAATTATTGCTGCACAATCAGAATTTAGAAAAAATCTGCATCGTTTTCATTTAAATGACAGATGGGCCAAGGCTGAACCCTCCCATCAGAACCTCTTTTGTCACCTGGCAGGTCAATGCACAGCTGGGGATAAAACCCAGGGGTGTGATTTGCACCTCTCCTTCTGACTTCTGCTAGATAATAGGGCTGGAGAAATGTAAAGGCTTGAAAAACCTTGACTACAGAAAGGCAGGGCTCTGCAGGCAGGTGGCACAAGGACAGTCATGCACCAGTGCCAGAGTATCTCCTGAGAGTCTCCAGCACCGGAACTGCACAGGGACCTCCTGGTGGGACAACATTTGGGCACAAGAGAGCACAGAGATGCTGAGCAGCCCATGGGATAATCCAGCAAGGACAAGATAAATCACACTGACTTGAAGCTGCATGGGAGCCTCTACAAACCCAGAAGAGGAAAGGATATTTAAGCCACTTCACCATACCTGACTTCTGGGCGGAGTCTCTGCCCAAGTTACCATGACTCAAATATTTCCTACATGTGAGTGTCAGTAGTGAGCATTTGACTTCTAGTACCATTTTCTGCTCAAGCAGCTGTTCCCATCTCTATTGGGAAGAGGCAGGTATGAAGCCAAAATGTGCTACCCCTGGACTGCTGAGGCTGTCAAGGGCCGGGCAGTGCCCAAGCATTAACCTTTATGTTGTCCAGGAGGCTCCTTGAAACCTTATCTCACATGGAAAAATCCTTACTGACAGAATCTGCAATTGGAGATTTGTTTACAGAATAGCTTTCACGGAATTTTGATAAAAATTCAGTGTCGGCAGGAACCACTTTTCTCACTATCAAGAGTGCCTTTTCTAACGCAAAATATGTCATTGGCAGGCAGTTAATTACAGCAGGCATTCTAAGGTTAGGGATGAAGTGAGGAATGCAGAAGTGGACATGGGAATTTCAGGGAGCAGCATCAATTGAATTATCCTACTTGCAAGCATAGGTGTGATCGCTGGAGTCTCACTACTGCAGTACAACAAGGGACAGGGAGAGGTGGTCTGGTCCAGCTCTCAGCTCCAAAGCAAGGCTGCCGATGCTCACCCTTTCCCGGCAGATGTTTGAGCTGTCCTTAGCAAGCTTGGTTACAGAAATCCAGCAGTCTGCTTCTGCAGCCTCGTTCCCGCACTTACCTGTCTGAGGGTAAGAAACAGTCACTTCAGTGCCTGGTAGCTCAAGAGTGTCCATATCTGGCTTTTGTGGTTAGGCCCACCTTTGAAAATGTATTCCAGAGCTTAACCGTTTCTCTTTGAAAAACTGAAAACAAATAAGCAGTCTCCTCCCCAGTAAGGTGCATTTAAAGGAAGATGAGCTTCATGTCCTTTTAACTGTTCCCCATAGTTTTTCCTTCTGTCATTCTTTCCTGCCTGCTGTTATAAAGCAGAAGGTGTGATATAAACAGCAAACCAAAACCTAACACCAAGCCCCTGGCTGGATGCTCTTTCTAACCACCAATTTTAAACCTCTGCTTTCCCAGGAAAAGCAATTTTACAAAGTGCCTTATAAAACAGAATAATGAATCCCTCAGCATTGACATGGTTGACTTATCAGGGAGACAATACTGGGAATGCAATTTCTATCAGTAAATCTGATTCAACCTTTTCTATTCCTGAAGATTTTGATGGATTATGTGAGATCAAGCCAAGCAAATGTATACACCATTATATCAATGCAGTAAGATGCTCTTTGGCAGATTATTCCAAAGTACCTCTGCAGGACTAGTAGGATGCTGACAGTGGTGTCCAAGTCTACAAAACTCATGATGACAGTAAAACGGAGCTATCTGAAAAAATTGAAGAAGTGTTGCTTCGGCAGAGTGGAGTACATCACTGTCCAGGGATACGGCTGCTTTATATTTACCCTAATACTTCTACTGAGTGGAAATTAGATAGTCATCATTGTGCTGAAAAATACTGGCTTTGCTGCTGAAGAAATATGTGTCTCTCTTCTAGGAAGGGATGCATGGCTACATTCACTGAACTCAAATCAAATGAAGAGGTATAAGGGAGGCGTAGATCTGACCAAGAGGGAGCTTGTTATGCTCCAAACAAAACAAAATCAAACAAGAGGGGTTTCTGCCTTCTACAGACAGAAAGATAGAGCCTGCAGAAATTATAACAAGGCACTGCTGTGACTCATTGCATCAATACTCATTTCCCCCAGTATCTGAACTGCCTGCTGGATTTATCTGTTTTCTCTTGTCTTATGTTTAGTCTGTGAGAAATATGGGAGTGAAACCATTTTCTCTCTTTGGACAGGAGTCATCAAGCTCTGAGAGTGCTAATTGCTACCCTAATATAAAATAATAGACAATAACAATCACTATATAATGACTGAATATTGGGAATGATGGCAGGACATGCTGCTCCCTCTGGTAGCAACTGATGTAGCAAAATCGGGTAATCATCATCTACTGCTGAACAGAGCAGAAAAGGCTATGTCTTGTATTTATATTGGTTGGGGTGCTCTCTAGTTTATCTGTGAAGTCAGGCTTGCAGGCCCTTGAAATATAATTTGGAAGATAACTGGATCAGTTCTTCCCAGTGAATGTAAAGCAATGAAGGCTCTGATGAGAGACAAAGGGAGAAGGATTTGGTCACTGAAGAACATAAGTTCCAAATTAAACAAGAAAAACTAAAGCTTAAAGAAGGGCGTTAGGAAAGAAGGAGGTAGAAAAGCAGAGATAAAGGAAAATAAAGAGATATTGTGGAGGAAGCATAGCTGTCTGTTGGAGTGCATGTCGCTGGGCATGGAAATGAGAGATGTCGTCATTCCATTTTCTGTGCACTGAATCTTTAAATGTAGATGAATCTCTTTCCCTGCTGTGCGGGCAGCTCCAAGGCAGCTGCTGTCTGGTGTTTCAGTGCGAACACAGAACAGTACCAGAGCAAGATGGCTTTCTCCTCTTTACTGACTGACAACTTTTTTTCAAATTATTTGATTTTTACTTTTTATTTTAATGTTCCCCTTCTATAAGAAATGAGAGCAATCCAGGCTGGAAGATATAGTTGACAAATTCTGTCAAATAGGAAAATTCACTCTTGTGGGAATTGCTGATAATATGACATCTGGGCACCTACTGCCAACCAGTTAGACCCATCACTGCTGCTGGATAGCACCAGGATTTTTCATCTACCAGGAAGATAGGACCACAGCATACAGAGACACCCAGGCTGAAGAATAGCATACACACTCAACTTTGTTCTGCCCCTATTTGGTTTATCTCCAACACTACCCAACCTCAAAATCCTCAAAATCAAAACACACCATCAGTAGTCAGTTCAGCACTGATGTCCATCATCATTCCCTAAAGTGCAGTCAGGATGACTCAAGAGTGCAGATCTCCTTGTCCAACTCTGTTCCCAGAGAGAGACATAAACCAGTGGGATCACAGTCTCAGTTTTTTTGCCTTGGGCTCCCCCTAAAATTTTTGCCTAAACATTGAATGCCTAATGCACTGTACGTATACATTCCTGATCTCTCTCCGAAAGTCTGTGCCCTTTGCATAATCACATGCAAATGAGGTCATTATACCACAGACCTTTAACTAGCATTAAACCCCTCAAATATCACTTGCAGTAGAAGAGCCTAAGGGTTATTCTCATTCCACGTGAATCTATCCAGAAGTTAAAATTCATGCATTTATTTTTTTCTAAATATGCAATAATAGCTGAAGTGCACACTTTCACACATTAATCTCATATTGATGGAGACAGCACAAAACTCACAGGGCTAAATTCTAACATGAGTTCAACTTGTACCTCTCAGTGCAATTGAATGCATAGAGCTGGGCACTATTTGACTCATGCATGAGAAATAGGAAGGCTGTGCAAAAGGTACTTGTGACTGTACAGGAATTACACGTGAAAAATTACAGTGGTGCAAGTCTATCCAGCATGAAAATGACAGCCTATGAAAAGTGTAACTTGCAGCACTCTTATTCTTCATCAGTGAAATGAATTGTTTTGGAAATGTTGAGTCTGACCACTCGCTACATTCCTATAGGGCTTCTCTTCAGATTCATGCTCCCATCAACCGGCTTAAAAAATTTGCGCAGACAAGGAATGTACTTGACTACTGAATTACTTTGGCATGAAAGATCCCTGTGTAACAAGAAATAATGTCTTTCATGCAAGACAGAGAGCTTTCCAGGAAGCAGAGCCAGCGCTGCGGACATTGTATGAACTCCCTGTGCATTTGATAAGGTCCTTGATCCACTTCCATTAGTAAAATGAAAACATTAAAATAAAAAAAGATAAAATAAAGGAAAAATAAAACATAGAGTCTCCAGCCTTCCAGAAATGTCTATGTACATGAACAGAAAGCAAAACTGGGAATGACATGTGTCACACTGTGGCCCCTCAAAAAAACACTCAAATGGAAACCATTCAGCTACAGTGGTAGGTAGCATATAAGAGCTTGAATAGAATAAAAAAGAGTATCATCTATTAGCAAATGACATACAAAATAAAAGGAAATGTATGGCTTTCAACTTTGAGGTTACTGAGTCAAATCCAGTTCACATGAGCAGTAATGGAGGTCATTGCCATGTGAGGGCTTTGTGATCAATATGAAGTTGTCTTTTAAGCCAAAAGCCACAGCATCAGAGCTGTTGTTCCTTTCCAAGATATCAAGATATGACATTGTTTCCATAATCCTTTGCTCATTTGAATTCCAACAGCATTAATATCTGTAAATTTCTGGCCTTGAATGCTGTGCTACCTTGCATATTATGCCACACCATTGCTAAAAAAGGGTTCAGTAAAAATGCATTGAGTTTTACACCATTTAACAACTTCTTTTCATTGGTGCAAATAGCCATGAAGGATACAAACCAGTGGAAAATCAGACCATGTCTGTAACAAAAATTCTCAAACAATTGAAAGAATTCTGGTACATTTAACTTTGAGGAAAAACCCAACACTGTAGTGTACTTACAGTGGCACTGAAATACCCAAAATGTTTACAGGAGAATTAAATGTAAAACCTCAAGTGACTAACAGCACTCATGATGATAGTTTGAGAGGAATAGACAGTCTACAGACTTTCTCATTTTAAGCATGACATAAGTATTTTCAAAATACAATTGGTTTCCAACCATGTTTTTAAAAATCAATAATATATGATTATTTATGGAAAGCTATGAAAAGCTTTCCAGAAATTTATTTGGAACATGGAATCAAGATGGGTATTTCCATTTTTAATGAGATTTTTACAGTGCTGAATTTCAGCCAGCAGTATGCAGGCTGTTGGTAGCAAGTAAAATATTCACAACTATAAAGAGAAGGTAAGGTAAGCAAGTTTTTCGAAAGTACATAAACTTGGGTTTGCCTCTGCAAAACCCATCTGTGTCACATATGCAATGACGAACAGGAGGATGAGCCTTCACTATTTTTCAGAAAGTGAAAGAAATCTTATTCCATTACATCCCTTGTCAAAAAAATACACATTTAGCAACTGAGACATATATTTTAAAAAGAAAGGCTCTGCACCTCACACTCTAAATAAAACACACTGGTACTGCCAACCTACTCATGTCAGTAGGACAACTCTTGCATGTGTGAATGAGTCAGTAAGAGGATCTGCACAATCAGGCTCATGTTACTGAGTTTAAAGAGTTAAATAAAATGAGTGTGAATTTCATATTGGAAAACACAGCCACCCATAACTTATTTGCCTGCAGGAGATGCAAATAAAGCCAGCCTCGTGCCTGCTCCTGGTGAGACAACAGGCAGGCAGGTATTTCTGCAGCTCCTCCCAGAACAGAGCTCTGACCCAGCACTGCCATGTAGGACCAGGGACAGTCTCGCACATAGGCCGCCAGCAGGACATGCTTGACAATCTTCCTTATTACCACAGTCGTTACTTTTTACCTTGGATGTTAAATACCTTCATTGCAGCAATACTTCTTCACCACCAAAATTTCCTCCAGGGTTCGCATTTCCATCATCATTGTCCCATTTCACGGATCTCAGAGCCCAAGCAAGGTCATGGCAGGAATTGGTAGCTCTGGCTGGCACAGCAGCAGGATAACCTGCCTGCCCTCTTTCCACATTACCCAGAAAATTCTCTTCTGAAAGAACTAGAGAAGGGTACAGGCACATAATGCTCCTTTGAGAGGCATGATCTTTAAATAC